GTCTCAGAAATACAGAAAACCTGTCTGAACAATGAAATATATGGTAAGTGACTCTTTGTAAACTAAAATTATTAAATGATGTATAATATTAGTGGGAACAAATTATGTTGTTTTCATACAGGAACCATTTCTATTATTAGATAGGGACTTCAATTTGTTAAGGTAGGAGAACATTTGGAAGCTTACACTGAGTCATAATGTCTAATTTCTAGAATGTTCACACTGTTATATACATTTTCTCTATTATATTTATTAATATTATATAATTAAATATCTATCTGTCTGACTACCTATCTATCTATCTATTCTCAGATTGGCTATTTGGACCTTGAATTTGAAACTCTCTTTTTTTAGGAAATAACCCAGAATGTGATCCACTCTCTCTAGCTTCTCAGCATACCATTAAAAGAAGAGTTGCCTGAATTGATTACAATAGTTGCAATAAGCAGTTTCTGCAAACAGCATTTCTTGTGAAAGAAGGCTAGAACATGTATATTCCTGTACGGGATTTGAAAACACACAATCTGCTTTTTGAAATGACAGGAAGATTATGAAAAATATATGTAAAATATATTATTAGATTATATATGTATGTATATGTTATATATGTGTATATGCAGCTTAAATGGTGGTAGTCTTTAAAACTGTAAAAATATATTCCATATGAAGATGTATGAGACCAGTCTTTATTTTATGGCTCTTCCACTGTAATGATAACATCTCATTGAACACCCCAGATGAGGATGAATAAAAACTTTCGAAGTTCAAAATATTAGCTCAATAAAATAAAAAGGTTGGAAGGGAAAAATCCGCCACCAATCTCCTAAGAGGAGCGCTAGTTTCAAATGCACTTACCTCTAATTCTTAAATAGTCCTGTATTGGACATAGGGTAAAAAAGAGAAAATATATTTTTCTATATTTTTATGTCCAATATCTCTCTTAAGAATTAGGGGTACTTGCATTTGAAACTAGCTCTCCACTTAGGAAATTGGTGGCAGATTGTTCCCTTCCAACCTCCTTATTTTATTGTGTTTATGTTTGGGTGGATAAGAGAGATTTCCATAACAGTGGGGTAACTGCAGTCTGCTACAAGATTGACATTTCTATACGTAATTTTTAAGCGCTTATTTTATACACAGAATATCCCTTTTTTCAAAATATTATCTACCTCATATGACCAGTTGTTGCTAGTTTTCTTCATATTAGTATAGGGCTCAAAATGTCCACTCATTGACTAGCCTTTGTCAAGTTAAAATTCACTCCCTGGTGAGTGTTCCACTCATCATCCTGGTTTTCCAGGTAAATGTCACGTTTTGAAATAACCGCGTATGACTTGAAATGTTGAGACCTGCTTACTATAAATAATCTTCGGCCCGGTTGCACACTTCCAATAAGCTTTTAATTGTGTAAATCATTTCTTTCAGGCACAGACATTTCCAGTGAGTGTTGGGTTCAAGAAGCAGCAAACCTAAAGCACCAGTTGATGGCATTTTACAATAGCTGGAACTTCAGTAAACTGTCATCATTTCCTGATTCCTCCCATCTTTCCATAGACCTGAAATCCCTCTTTGCAGACATATCTGTGGTCTTGAAGGACACCAAGAATCAGCCAGTTCGGCAGCTGACATTACCTGATATACTGTCCGTTCTGAGTGATATCACCATGATAGAAGGTGAGGCTGGCAGTGGGAAAACGGCTCTGCTCCGAAAAATAGCCATTCTCTGGGCCTCAGGAACCTGTCCCATACTCAGCCGGTTCAGCCTTGTCTTTTATATCTCAATTTCCTCCACTGAAAACCAACAAACATTAAGTGACATAATCAGAAAACAACTCGTTGGATCCACGACATTGCTTAATGAAAATGTTCTGGAAGAAATTATAAGACATTTAGGAAACCAAGTCCTGTTTCTTGTGGATGACTATGGTGAAACAGAATTGGCTCCTGAAGCCATAGAGGACCTTATGCTAAATAATCCTGCCAACAGAGTGAGTGTTGCAGCCACCACATGTACTGGCACGGGCAGGAAGCTGCGGAAATATGCAAGGAATGTAATTGGCATTCAAGAATTCCCATTGTACAGCTCAATATATCTTTGTAGGCAGCTTTTTTCACATGACATGGCATTTGTGGAGACCTTTTTATTGGAGTTAATATCTTCAAAAACATTGCAAGCTGCATTAAAGACCCCTCTTTTTGCGTTTGCTCTTTGTGTTTACTGGGTAGAGAACCCTAACGAAAAAGTATCAGGGGATACTGTGATTTGCAAAGCCTATCTAATGCACAATATGTTAAATCATCCCAAAGAAAGAGACAGAGTAAAAGCTCTGATCTCATCATGCGGGCAATTAGCCCTGAATGGTCTCATCCAGTCTTGCTTTGAGTTTACGGATGGAGATCTGTGTACATCTGGTGTAAACAGCAATGATGCTCTCAAATTTGGTCTTCTGAGTAAGTTAACCTCCCAGAGACTTCATCCCATCTACAAGTTCTTTCACCCATCTTTTCAGGAGTTTCTTGCTGGCATAAGGATCAATGAGCTCATGGAGTCTACTGATTCAGTTCAAGTAGAACATGCTACATTATATCTCCGTCAAATTAATACCTTCATTAAAATTGCTGGACGTTATCATTATTTTTTAAAGTACTCGTGCATGCATTCTCCCAAAACAACATCCATTATTATTTCCTACCTGTTTGATTTAATGAATAACAGTGATGCGTATGACTGTCAAGTAGACACAACCAATCATTTGCAACATCACCCTGATCTTGCAAACATAGAAGAAATTATAAGCTTACTAAGTAGCAACAAACAACATTTTCTCCTTTCGTTTGTATTTTACATGTTATTGTATTTCTCTATTAAAGTAGCACAAGAAAGCAATTCGATGACTGAATGTGCTCCCATCATCTTGCGTTTCCTTAGTGGACAAGATCTCTCTATGGATTTAACTTCACCAAATGTGGAGCTATGTAGATTTCTGAAGCAATATCCAGAAGCTTTCTCAATGATTAGGAGCCTCACGCTATCTGTATCTGGAACTGAATGTGAATCAGATCTGGATTTTGTACATAACGATGACTTTGCATCTCACTGGGATGTTCAAACGGTTGACCAAGAATATTCTCAAGCTTTCCAATTAGTTTCAGAAGTCTTTCAGAAAACCACTCCTAAGAACTATCTTCTTAGGAAAAATGTGGACCTTTCCAATTTGGTTTTCAACGTAGGAACTTCCAAAAGTCCTGTTTTAAAGATTGAGGTTAGCGGCCACATCATAGATTGGGGCACTTTACTTTGCAATCTAATGGTTTTCTTGTCTCTTTCTGACCGCATAGAACTGTACGTAAAGTGCTGTCCAGGGTTTCTTGCATCTGTCAGGATGTGCATTGAGAAATATGTTGACAAATTTGTAAAGTGCAGTATTTGTAAGGTAGGACTAAGCACAGAAGAGGAAAAGCTGATTATCCAGATGTCATCACTGGAAACTCTTGAAGTAACTGTCTCTCATCTTCCAGGTGATTATTTTACATTACTTCGATTGAGCATTTAATACTCCGGTTACCCCAACCTATGCAGAAGTCTGCCCTTTGCCGGTCCAATCCCTTTTATAATTGGAATTAGCTTTATTTCCAACATAGTGATTTTAAATGATTACATAATAAAAAAACAAAATACAAACAAACTGACCTAAACTACCATCCTTTGCTGTAAATGAGAAAGTATCTAAAGGGGCTACATTAATAGTATCAATATTTCCAACCTTGATTACCGTGATAGTTCATCCACTCCTCCCTCTCTCAGCCTATCACTGTCTCCCAATTTGGATGAATCTTATAGTATATAGTACGACTGGGTAGAGCTTGGGTTTGTGTCAAACTGTGTCTGAACAGTTTAGCAAAAGTTGGGACCCATAGACCAGTGCTCCTCAACCCTCTCCTAACAGTGCAGGATTTAGGGATTACCTGTGTGTCTAAGCTGTTAAAAATACAACAACAACAAAAAAAACACCTTAGACTCTGCAGTGGTCCCCAACCAAGTCCTCTTGGACCACCAACAGTCCATGATTTATGTATTTCCCTGTTTTATTCCAATGGAGATACTGATCCAACCTGGACTGTTGAAGGTCAATGAGGACTGGGTTGGAGAAGGTGTTTTTATTTCTTTTTCTAAACACCTTAGACACATCCGGGTAATACCTAAATCCGTGACAGTTAGGTGTGCCTTGAGGAGAGGGTTGACAGCATAATTATGGCATTAAGCTTCAGTGGTCATGATGCTTTGTGTGGCCCTTTAATGCCAGCCCCTCTATCCTGCTTTCACTGAGTGGTAAACTCTATGCACTAACAAAGTGTTATCAATTCAGTCTTGTTTTTCATTAGTTTTATATCTACTGTAGATAATTTATGGGGTTTTTTTTTCTTCTTTTTCTCCCTAGAATATTTAATTTCACATTTGGATAGATTCCAGGAACTAAAGGAACTGATACTGACCTGTCGTTTATCTGACGAATGGGATGTGATTAATATTTTGCCAGATGGTTTTAAAAAACTCCAACATATAAAAAAAATAGAGCTAAACAATGTGAATCTGAGAACACATTCTTTGCAGTTTGGTAAGCAATATAGATTTTTAATAACGGGTTTGTTTTTGTAAGGCATAGCGGAAGACTGAATTATACTAATGATACTCAGATCACTAAGGGCTTGTTTACAATCTTGATGCTGCTTTTTATGTTTTTTATTATCCAGCCTGTCACCACCTGTCACAGCAGCTACTAAATAACCGCTTTATTTCACAAGTAGTTACATGGGGTTGCTGACTGCTGAAATCACAAACTAGCGGCTAATGGCTCTCATTGTCCTTAATGGGAGCCACTAACTTCTGCTGAGTGTTCTGTTTTACAACCGTGTTGCTACTTTTTAACAGCCGCCTCTAATTCAAAAGAGTTAATACCAGCCCCTTGCTGAGAATAGAGGAACGTAATTGAATCCCTATATAACCGATTAAAAGAAAAGGTCTTTTTCTAACCCCACGACCAGTTTTTACTGGCCCGCACAGGGTGAAGTGCGCATGTTCCTGTGTTCATTTACATGCTTTACCAGCAAAAGGCTAATATGCAAGTGTTTCATTTCTGTAGCAGGAGCTGGTTGTAGCGATAGGCTACAAAAACTTTGCATTAAAATTATAAACCTGGTTGCAATTTGTAGCTGATCTAAGCTGCTGGTTGTTATTAATAGCATTTAACAAAAAAGACTGCACTCCTGGTTCTACCATGGTGCCAGTAGAAACAGGTATTCTAGATTGATGCTCCAGACAAATAGGTTGGCGTACCTCAGAAATATACTTGCAAAAGCATTTGGTTTGTACAGACTTTATTAGGAACCATAGACTTTAACCCCTTAAGGATACATGACATGTGTGACATGTCATGATTCCCTTTTATTCCAGAAGTTTGGTCCTTAAGGGGTTAAAATGACATTTCAGACAAGCTGGCCTTTGTCAAGCTATGATGACTTGACAGTTTGGCCGCAACGTTGTCATTTTTTGAAATTAATATTTTATTGCCTTATAGAACAAGGGTACGGGATACAGAAAAAAGAGAGGATGTGGGGGTTGGGAGGGGGAATTCATAGTATATTTCATACATCAGACATTGCAGGTATCTTTGTTTATTGTACAGCCAGTCTTCGTATTTAACATCGGTTGGATGATACATTATATCTACGTAACATTTATAACAGTGATTCTGTCCACCTGGAGCCTTTGTTGGTACAAAACCGAGTGATTTGGCCAACCGAGTTGTATTATTATCTTTGGTTTTGCATGACATATAAACGAGTAACATAAAAGAAAACGAAGAACTATATACAAAGGTCCGTCTAAGGGAGTGCAAGGATGCACAGACTGGTTAAACATGGGTCTGAGAGCCTGTGGAGGGTGGGAAAACCCATAAAGGGATATCGTGCCCTGTGATTGGGAGCGGTTTGCTAGGCCCTCGAACGTGCATCTTGTATTGTTAGCAGTTTGGGAGGGGGGAGAAACATGGGTACAGGATTTTTAAACATAACCCCCTTTTTTAGTAAACATCAACCCGGTATACAAGTAAAATCTAATGAGGAAAATATTAAGTATGAATACATATCTTAATTGATGTCTCTTATCTGTTATAAAGATTTGGAAGGCACAGTGTGAATTTTCTTCTGGTAAAGAAATGGGGCACAATCATTGCACCGCTGCTGCTGTGTGCCAGTCGGTGGTGATTTTTGACAGTGAGTGCTGCAGCTTTTGTTTTGTTGCTTGGCTTCTCGGCATAGCCACTGGTATCTTCCATTCCTTGAGTGTTCTACCGCCTTCCTCCAGCGTTATGTGTCTCGTCACGCCATTATAGTTGACAATAATGCATGCTGGGAACCCCCATTTGTATTTCAGGTTTTTTGCTCGCAATGCTTGCGTGATCGGAGCGAGACTTTTCCGTTTCAGGAGTGTTGAGGCTGACAGGTAAGTGAATAGCTTCACTGCTGCATATCTGCCTGTCATATCTGGGGAGCGGCGTGAGGCCCGCATGATTTTTTTTACTTTAGCCGTGAAGTAGTGCAGCTTGGTTATTACATGCCTGTGCAGTGATTGCAGCAGATTTTGCGGCTTAGGCAGCCTGTGGATCCTGTCTAGGAGAAGGTCTCTATGTGAGAGCTCTGGGGCTAACGTTTGAAAAAGCTCTATAGTATATGTGGCCAGATCCTGAGGAAGGATTTCTGGGATACCCCTCAGGCGGATGTGGTTGGCCACTTTGTCTTCCAGCCTATCCAGCTCTGTATATGAGTCTGCCAATGTATTATGAGCTTCAATTATTTCCTCTGTTTTTTCTTCCAATTGGTTGGTTCTCTCTGCGATGGCAAATTCAGCATGCATGGAGGTTTGCAGATCGTGTAGCATCTTTTGAACTGAGGAGTCTGTTGCTGGAGCTTGGTTAGGCATTGAAATGCTTGTGCTCTCACTGCGGTCCGAGCAAGAGGCAGGTGATCGCGGTCCGTTGGCGCCATTGTGGGAGCGCGGCTAGGACAGAGCCGCAATTTGCAGCGTAGATTTCTGCTCTTTTTGGGCAGATTTTTGTGCATGATGTGTAGGGGTGCTGTGGGACCCTGGTACTTGCCGTTTGCGGGCTTGCATTCGCTGTTTTTGTCGCTGTGGATTAATCCCTCACAGGGAGCAAACCGCTCATGCGGCCATCTTGGTGAGCTGCTAAACCACACCCCCAACATTGTCCTTTTAAAGGCCATGGTTCCTAATAAAATCTGCACAAACCAAGATACTTTGAGTGCCTGGTTATTTCATCTACTCTTGCAAGGCTGTTATTATTAGCGACAAGCTTTTGACTTCTTTTTACCAAGAAGGTTATAATCAAGCCCCAAGCATAATGAGGATTGTAGTTCAAAACATTACAAAAATTTACAAAAAATATCTCAGGAATGCTAGCTCTGCAGCTCATGAGAATAAATTAAATACACATTTTATTTAAAAAAATAAAAAGTCTTAGCGCCATATTGGAGAAACCCTTAAGTATATACTGGGTACTCTATGAAAAAAACAACAACTTCATATGCATAATTTCCATTAGTTAAAAAAAAAAAACCTTAGAAGTATCTACAGCATATATTTTTCAGTGTGTATTCTTCCAAAAATTTGTGAAAATATTTTAATATCCAAGAGTTCTTGGGTAGTACTAGACACATTTTATTTTTTTGTGGGAGATGAATGGCCTTCTAAAACCAGATTTGAGCTTTTAAAAGACTAGATTTTATCGATATTTTACATTGTAATATAGGTTATTTTGGCGTTTATTAACTAACTTGCAAGTTTTAGGCCTAAATAATGGAAATTTAAAAAAATAGGTAATTTGATTAATTTTTCAAATACTACTTTTCTTGTGTGTTTTGCAGCTAAGTTCATTGAACACTTCTCAAACCTGTCATGTTTCGTCCTGAGCTGTGACTGCTGTCCGGAATTTGAAAAGCTGATTAAAACATTGTCACAGAATAGACAAATAAAAAAAATACACCTTTCTGGACTATTTATAACAAACAAGGAAATATTAGATTTGGGTAAGAAGTTTGGAAATGAAAAAATAACCATTTTGTTATCGTAAACAAATTTTTTAAAGTATTTTGGAATATTTTGACCTTCCAAATATTGGTTGCAGGGTAATCATATGTTGTTTCTGATATTTTTTTCTACAATAAGAAAAAAGCAGTATGTTAAACAATCTTCAAAGCAGGAGTTGGGGGTAAAGATAAGCGGAATAGACTGGTGTAAGGATAATTTAAACATAGGACTATATTAGGCCAACAACAGACAGGTTCCTAATAAATTATATCAGAGTAAACAATAATACAGTTTTAGAATAAGTAGGAGAAAGTCTTACAATGGATACAATAATTTAGTGTATGATGGAGATAGAACACTGTAAGTTTAAAGTATTGATGCAAAGCTTTAGACTGTAAGCTTGTTTGAGCAGGGTCCTCATCTGCCTATTGTTCCTGTATCATTTTGTAATTGTCTCATTTATTGTTAAATTCCCCCCTTTCATAAAATTGTAAAGCGCTGGGGAATAAGTTGGCGCTATAAAAAAAAACAATAATAATAATAAAGCAATTCGTTTTTCTCTTAATATCTGAAAACTCTTAAAAGCCATGTCTTTTTGCTGATGATACTAAGATATGTAACAGGGTTGATGTTCCAGGAGGGATAAGCCAAATGGCAAATTATTTAGGTAAACTAGAAAAATGGTGGATAAGTGCAAGATAATTTTAATGTGGATAAGTGCAAGATAATGCATATTGGACTTAAAAACCCAAGGGCAGAGTACAGAATATTTGATAGAGTCCTAACCTCAACATCTGAGGAAAGGGATTTAGGGGTGATTATTTCTGATGACTTAAAAGTAGGCAGACAATGTAATAGAGCAGCAGGAAATGCTAGCAGACTGCTTGGTTGTATAGGGAGAGGTATTAGCAGTAGAAAGAGGGAAGTGCTCATGCCATTGTACAGAACACTGGTGAGACCTCACTTGGAGTATTGCACGCATTACTGGAGACCGTATCTTCAGAAGGATATTGATACCTTAGAGAGGGTTCAGAAAAGGGCTACTAAACTGGTTCATGGATTGCAGGATAAAACTTACCAGGAAAGGTTAAAGGATCTTAACATGTATAGCTTGGAAGAAAGACGAGACAGGGGGGATATGATAGAAACATTTAAAAATATAAAGGGAATCAACACAGTAAAGGAGGAGACCATATTTAAAAGAAGAAAAATTACCACAACAAGAGGACATAGTCTTAAATTAGAGGGACAAAGGTTTAAAAATAATATCAGGAAGTATTACTTTACTGAGAGGATAGTGGATGCATGGAATAGCCTTCCATCTGAAGTGGTAAAGGTTAACACAGTAAAGGAGTTTAAGCATGCGTGGGATAGGCATAAGGCTATCCTAACTATAAGATAAGGCCAGGGACTAATGAAAGTATTTAGAAAATTGGGCAGACTAGATGGGCCGAATGGTTCTTATCTGCCGTCACATTCTATGTTTGTATCAGGGTTATTCACAAAAGTAGGAATTAAAAAGTGAATTCAAAGATAATTTAAAAGTAGTAGAATTGAATGCATAGCTGACTTCCATCTAGGCTATTTTTACCATAGATTTTAAATTCAATTTGAATTCTAACTTTAGTAAAAAACTCTGTGTGTTCCAAATGTCGTCTGCAGGGCAATTTTGTGTTTCTTATTTTTCTGTGCTGCAATCATAGTTTTAATATAAAAAGAGATAAAACAAGTTTTTCTCATAATTGTGGATAGATTGCAAAAAAACTAAACAAATAATAAAAAAACAAAAGAAAACTTAGCCATCATACCCTTGGATCTTTTTTTATTCAGTTATTATTTTGATAATAATTATAACATTGTACTTATAGAACTTATGTGTATTAAATAAGCATTTCTTTATATATTTTTTCAGCTGCTGTGTTGCCATCACTTACGGATCTTGTCGTTTTGAAAATCGAAGGAAATCGTTGTGTGGACTCTGGTGGCCTAAACGCTTTGGGTAATACGCAATATCACAGATGTCCATTTTGCTTTTGCATTTGAAAAAATCTTATATCATATAGTAGTGTTTTGAATTATTTGCCACAATCTCATATTTTTTCCTGTCTTTTTATTTCCTGCTGGAATAACTGCCTGATATTTCATAATTGAACCCACGATAGATTATAATAGATTAATTTATTATTGAACATCACCGCAGAGGGCAAGTTTGGTTACTTCGTTTTTCACACATGGCTTCTCCATTTTGGCTTTGTCTTTGTTAAACAAATCATGGCTCGTTGTAAAAAATCATGTGTTGATGTCCATCTGAGGATGCATTTACCTAATTTTAAGACCTGCTAAGGAACAGGTGATTGTTATTATGTCTTGATATGTAAAACCATAGAATTAAAAGAGGGGGTGATTTCTGTTACCCATGACTGTAAAAAACACAGGTATCAAAGCAGAACAACAAACCACAACAGATTGAGAATGCTGGAGTACCATTGTGTAGAACAGGAAACCGAGAATATTGTACTTTGTGCAACCACTTGCTACAGCTTCACTCATTGTCCAGTCAGCCAAATCACTCATTATGCCTGTACATGATTACTGACTGCTATGGTAATGCTTCCTTCTATTCTATCATCACTCTTTCTGTCTAGCTCAAGCACTACCATCTCTGGTGAATCTGGAAGAACTGTATCTTCCCAGTGGTCCAGCCATGAAGGAATCTGCAATAGTTATCATCCGGCAGTTCAAGCATCTACCGAACCTTAAAAACATTTATCTTACCAATAATGTCTTGGATGACAGCAGCTTGATGGCATTAGGTGAGATGGGTGGTGGCAGCATCATGCAGCAACTGAAGTGCTAAAACAAGTAAAAATTCCATATACCTTTGCAGTGTATCTTTTTGCTTATTAGTAAAATAGTTTCTACGCTTTTGACTTCACTTTTAACATAGATAAGAAATTGATTATAATGGTTTTATATGTGATTGTCATCAAACTCTATCGAATCTTCTTTAACTACTGTATTTTTAGCAGTTTTTCAACTAGTGTTTTTTTCTGTTTTTGAGCCTGTGTTACCATTTATAATAGCTGATGTGTCTTAGATGATACGCATATATCAGTGTTTGGATGCTTTATGTTTTCTCAATGTGTTGCATCGGCCCATTGATACCTTACCATTGTGATGATATATTGTATGCACCAGTGGAAATGGATTTGCACTAGATTTTAAACTCTGAAGTACTGCAAATGATTATATGGACTCTGTAGGCACCATAACTACCTTAACAAACTGAAATGGTTATAGTGCCTGGAGGCCTTGGTTGGCGGTCCCACATACATGTTAAACTGTTTATTCTTTGTTTAGCAGAGATGCTCAGTCTCTAGTAGGCTACAGAACAGTCTTCGATGATGATGTGGCAAAGACCATCACTGGCATGGTATGGTATGGCATTGGCAAAGCATATATACGCCTTTACCATATCAAAATTGGAGGCTGGGTTGCAGGCTGATGGTGATCTAGCATCTCTGGTGTGAACGGATAACATTAATGTGTGACCTAGCACCAGTGGAATCCAAACACCATAATCACTTAAATTTGTTGAAGTGGATATGATGCCTATAGTGAAATGTCAATGCGTAAAATGATGTTGAATAAATATCCCCTAACCCCCATTCTTATTTAGATGTTCAGCATCTGGCAAAGAGTGTGACATCTCTCCTTATCTTTCCTGCTCAGAATGTAGATCTCCATCGGTTACACAACTACATCTCCCACGATGCTTTTCCACCCCTTAGAGTGGCTGACAAATAAATTGTAGTCCTAAGACATATGGGGATCTGCCTAGGTCTAATGTATTTTAGGCCACTATGGTGGAGATTTAACAAAATGTAATCTTCTACAAAAGGGACAAAGTACTTAAAGTAGGGAATCACTAGGGAAACCAGTGACTTCTGGAGGTATATTACCTCTTTTTGACATCTCCTCTTTTACAACATTGCAACATTTGTCAGAACATAAAACTTGATAAATCTCACCTTTCACTTCATTACATTAGCGTAAATTATCAAAGTGTTCTGAAAATGTCTTTCTGGTGCAAAAATAAACTAAAAAAATAAACTAAAAAATGTAATGCAAATAAACAAAAGCTAGCACAAAAGTAAAATTACAGAAAAGTTGCAAACAAAAAAGTAGGGAGAAAACTGTCAGAATTGATAATTCACTACAGAAATAAGTACATGAAAAAAGGTTATACATCTTAATACATCTCTCCCAATGTGTCATCTTGGCCAGATGATGTATTAGACAATGTGATCTTTTAACAGGAGTAGGATGGCTGTGAGTTTGGGGGAAGCAGTGTCAATAATTAATAATAATTCTGCTTTATGCGTTTAACTGTGGTATGTTTGACTTTGAGCCTACCTCTGTTTCAGTATGTCAATCATGTTTTGTTAGAATTTAGTGTTTGTCTTGCTTACCTATTGTACAGTACCGCATAATATGCTGGCACTATATAAATAATTGTAACTGTAACATAAAAGCGATTTAAAAAATGTAGGGACCTCAAATCACAGAAGTGGAAAAAAATCTCCAAGTGTGCTATAATTTCACCTTGGCTATTATGATTTAGAATTCACTTTGAATTACCGACACATTACACTCTAGTAAGTAACCCTGATTCTGTTTGAAGGAACACTATAGTCACCAAAAACAACTTTTTCTTAATGAAGCAGTTTTTGCATATAGATCATGCCCCCGAAGTCTCATTGCTAAATTCTCTTCCATTTAGGAGTCAAATTAATTTTGTTTCTGTCCATGCAGCCCTAGCCACACCTCCCCTGGCTGTGAATGACACAGCCTGCACGAATAAAATGGTTTCAGTTTTAACCAGATGTTAGCTTGCTTTAGAAGTTTTTATCACCTGCTTTGTAAATTGAACTTTAATCACACAAGGTCTAGCAAGTTTAACAAAGCAACAGATAAGAAATTCTAAATAATACAGAATTTGCTATAAAGGATGTCTAAACATTAGATGACTCTTTACAGGAAATGTTTAGAAAGCCTATGCAAGTCACATGCAGGGAGGTGTGACTAGGGTGCATAAACAACGTGATTTAACTCCTAAATGGCAGAGTGAGACTGCAAGAGCATAATTTATACACCAAAACTGCTACAGTTGTTTCACTATAGTGTCCCTTTAAGTTTGGGAGATATCAGAGCAGTCAAAGTGGTTAAATGCATATACGATATTTAATCTGTATTTGTAAACTGCAACTAGAAGACTTAATTTGAGTGTTACTCATTTTGAAATGTATTTTTTTTTCGCTTATAGTGGATGTTTAGCTTGTTACTGAATTGAATAAACCCAGCAGGTATCTTTTATTCTTGATGCTAGATGTTATTTATCATAAATTAATTCTGTATTGCATCTTTTTCAGCTCACGAGACAAAAGAAGGCAATTTAAGCAATCTCAGCATGCTAAATCTCTCTGCAAACCATGATATCACACAGGCTGGATGGAGGGACTTCTTTCTAACAATAGACAACTTGGCAAGTTTGACGGAACTATGCATTGCCAGGGTGTATGCCCATCAGTTTAAAACAGACCCGTCAACTCTGATTGCTTTAGTGCAATGTGTTTCCCGGCTTCACCGCCTTAATAAGCTGATCATGCATGGATGGTTATTGGATGAAAAAGATCTTGAGATGTTTAATGCAATGAAACAAAAGCATCCTCAGTCAAAAAGCTTTATGCTTCTGTGGCAATGGATATTACCGTTCCGTCCTATTGTGAATGAGTAATCATTTATCATAAAGGTTATGTCTTAATATTAAACATCATATATCACGTAGCATCTTACAGCATATTATTATTATTATTATGATATTTATAGAGCGCCGTCAAGTTCCGCAGCGCTTTACAATAGGTGGACGAACAGACATGTAGTTGTAACCAGACAAGTTGGACACACAGAAACAGAGGGGTTGAGGGCCCTGCTCAATGAGCTTACATGCTAGAGGGAGTGGGGTAAAATGACACAAAAAGGTAAGGATAGTATTAGACTAATGACAGTTGCAGAAGAGGAATCAGCCGGGAGCTATTAACAGTCTAATCGATATGCTTTTATGAAGAAGTGGGTTTTTAACGATTTTTTGAAGGAGTGGAGACTGGGTGAGCATCTAACGGAGGAGGGAAGCAAGTTCTACAGGAACAGTGCAGCCCTCGAGAAATAGAAAGGGCTGAGTTTATTTTCTATAGATATCTTCTCTGTTCCAAAAGGGATTTATCGAGATGTTAAGTTACAATTGTCCCTCTTTACTGCCTCCAAAGACTATTATATCCTGGAATGTGTTCACATCTTGATTCACTATACTTTGTGTGTTTAGTGAATAACCACATGCATTTAGTTTAGACATTCTTGTGCTCTGACATTTATTTTAGACATTTACTGTTATAGCACAGATATGCTACACATTGATGCTTCTGATATACATCTTTTCCTTTAAGAGTTATTGGAGCTGGGAACAAAGAAGAAGCGTGGCCAACTATTTAGGTCAATGTCCATTAAATGGTACCTTTTGGCTCTAATACATATGATTTCGACCAATATAACTCATTCATTCATTCATTCATAGAATCTTTATAAAAAACACAGAGCTTACATTGGAATTTTATTGAATTTTCAAAGCAATCAGAAGATTTACATGAGGCGTAGTATGGACTTCATTGTTTAATGTTATTAGCAGTATAGAAGAAGGCGGCACTTCAATCAGCAGTATAGAAAAAGGCGGCACTTCAATCAGCAGTATAGAAGAAGGCGGCACTTCAATCAGCAGTATAGAAGAGGGCGGCACTTCAATCAGCAGTATAGAAGAGGGCGGCACTTCAATCAGCAGTATAGAAGAGGTCGGCACTTCAATAAGCAGTATAGAAGAGGGCGGCACTTCAATCAGCAGTATAGAAGAAGGTGGCACTTCAATCAGCAGTATAGAAGAAGGTGGCACTTCAATCAGCAGTATAGAAGAGGGCAGCACTTCAAGCAGCTACTTAAAAACAAAGTTAACATCTGGGATCTATAGACAGGCAGCTTCCTATGTTGTACTCAATAGATACCTAGAGAATCTCAATGCACATTGACAAGCTTGTGTATGGAGGATCCAATGTCTTGGGGGACCTTCAAGAGACTTAAATTTTCCACAATAATGGACTGGTAGATGTCACTAGGACCTGAAGATGGAGTCCAACAGAAACAAGGACAGAGAGGTTTAGGTAAGTATATGTGCCTTTCTCATACCCCCCCCTGTGGCAACCACAGAAGTGGAAATGTTTGTTGCCTTGTGGGTCCTTACAATAAAAAAATGACCGCACAAGGGTAGCTTCCACTTTAATGCTACTGCTACTCTATGGTAGAAGGAAATACACATCGTCTCAGCTTCCTTTTTCTCTCTATTATTCTCAGATTTTTAGCTGTAAAATATGATCTGTTTTAATCCAGTGCCCAATCTCCTGTAGCAAAGTTAAGCATCCTGCAAGTATTGTAATTCTAAGATTTTCCCGGAAAAATAAAACATTTCTTTACCTCTAACACATATAAAAAAAAGGTATTTAATTTTTTTACTACTGCTTAAAAATCAATGAAAAAAAAACCCCAGAGATGCCACTCTATTTTGTACCGGAATTTGATCTGCAATATATTAATTATGGGGAAGGCCAGGCCATAGATAAACATATCTTTTACTACTATAAATAGTCTTTTTTAACACACCCAGTGAGATTAATTTGTGAAACCGGTCTGGGCTGTTGCAATATGTTATCTAATATAACTAATTAATTAAATAGGTATTTATGAATAGATCTCAATTTAGACACATTTTTTATTTTAAAAAAAACTCAGTGTTACCATGTTGTCCTATAGAAACTACCATTTCTAATGTCCAGCGTTGTGTCTTCTTGTGTAATGTTCAGAGTTTTCATGTTGATTGCCCAAATCAGTAAAGACTAACTTCTGCCAGGCTCATGTTTACACTCGACAAATCCCATGATCCTCAGTAAACCTATAAGCCTATAGGCTGGCTGGGAGTCATGGAAACAACAGTACAAATAATGGCCATCATTTCTGGGCAGATTAAGTTTTGCACCTTTCCACGGATCACCTACTTACATTGTACAGTGATTATATTCTAGAATTCAAGTTTAAGCTCTACCAAAGCTTATTGCAACATTGATGCCTTCAAAGGAAGTGTCACTAGAACGATAACGGTTTGTTGAACATTTCAGATTTTCTCCAAATGTGCAGAATGTGATTCAACATTTGGAAAATACTAATCACATTCAAGTTGTCAGCAAATTGTACCAAGTTGAATTGGTTTAGGGAAGATATGTTAAATAGGAGATTGTTGGGACTCGGCATTATAACAGATCCCAACGCGTTTCTCCCTGACTTAGTTTTGCTAATACAAGCTGTCAGTGTATACACTGCTGATTGCAAGACTCAGGCACCCAAAATATATTCCTTAAGCAATCGCTGCCTGTCTGAAGGTCAACATAAGATGCCATTAAGAGGCCAATAGACCTACATGCAGGTGTCCTTGGTTCCGGTGGAATTAATGTAATTTTAATGGATCTTGAGTATTTTTAAACAATCATATATCCTATTGACACATTTGCATTATTGTTCTTGACTTGAAATGTGTGCTCTCTTGCTGAAGGATGCTGAAGGATGTTATAGGACTATAGAGAAATTACACTTTTATTCAGTTGAGTAATAGTGATTATAACTAAGTTTTCCTCTTTCCTTTCCCCAAATATGTGGTGGTGCTTAGTCTTAAATTGTTTCTATCTAAACACATTTTATTCCTCAGGTGGATCATTAGACTATGGTAGTTAAACATCTATCTTTACTGCTGATGTTCTGTTTATTAAAGAGGATTTATAAGCAACATACACATTGCAGCTCAGTGTAGTATCATATTGACAATAGTCTGGTTATTGTCCTTTGCTTCTTTGTTAAGTAGTTTTGAACATCTATGAAAAAAACCTGGGTTCTCCCTAGCACCAAGACAGGTTTGACAAGGAAATGGTGTTGGGTTCCTAGCGAATCTTGGCAATATAACCTCTATCATAAGCTATTGTGATTAGGGCCATAGTTTCAAAAATAACTCCAAATCTTGACATGATTGGTTGTTCAGCCTCTCAGCAGCATCTCCAGTCATCAATAAAGTGGGAGGAAACTGCAGAACTAAATCACGAGAGACACAACTTGTTTCTAATACAAACATCATTAGTGTTTACAGAAAAAAAGAGAAGAAACGTGACTTGAAACAGGAGAGTCTCCCAAAGAAAAGGGCCTAACCCTAAATTTACAGTAAAACAAAAAAGATCCCCAATAAGGAGGAACCCAAATAGGAGAAACCAGGGATTGACAAGATAATTGTGCTTCCATGTGCAAATGTGTTGACAAAAATAAAATAAAAAATAATCTAAACAAACATAAATAGGTATGATGGTAGCTCTGTTATATCCTCAAAAGATTACTCTTTTATATCCACTTCAAAATAACAAGTCCTGAAATATTCTTAGATGTAGAGGACCTGAACACTGTGCAACCAAAAAAAAAAAAAAAAACAGAGAAAATCGTACCCACTTGTATAAATATATAAAAAATTACTAGTACTGCATAATGGTTATTTTGTATCTTTTAATTCTACCAAAAGACAGAATCCGCATAGTGATACATTGTAGCAGTTAAGGTAATTGAAAGTCTGGATGAGATGGAGCCAACAAAGCTGTGACGACACATCCAGGTAGACCTCATATGACACGATCTAAACTGGGACATAGATGAATTGCACTCAATGTGATCTCCCTACAGGCTTATCCAGATAACAATAAAACTTGTAGGCTTGATGAGGGCTCCTAATACCAAATCAGACCAGCTAAGTAAGAGGTCCCTAAATTACATATGTGCCCATGCTTGTAATAAAAACTCCTCCAAACCTTGGAGTCAATAAGCTCCTACATGCCAGACTTAACTAGCTGAAATATCCCTAAATATTGAATCAAGGGAAAAAACTAACTTGCAATTAAACAAAAAACTAATCAAATCTAAAGTGCACTAACATCACAACTTCACACCTCATTAAAACAAGGTAAACAAAAACATAATAATAAACATAAAATAAGAAACAAACACAGAAAGGAATTTAGCGCTTATAAAATACTGATACAGTTCAAAAGGCAGTTTAAGAACCAAATCACCAAGTCTCTCTTGTCCGGTAGAAAATTAAAAAAAGGAAGAAGGTAGGTGTTGATCCTTGAGGGTATATGTAGAAAAAGAGAAAAATAATTCATAGTGTATTATGTAAAATACAATGGAGAAAGGATAAAAATGGTTCACTCACACTTAGGTTCAGCTCCAACTTGAAAGCTTAGGTGGAACAATCCACACCTAAGGATACAATGTGATGCAGAATCCTTGTCGAATCCCCTTAGTAGTGGATATGTGGATGAAAATCAAAATAATATAGTGTAGTATGCACAATAAAAAAGCATCAATTCAGTAATGTAAAAATGTGCACTCACATATTTTGGAGCCTGAACAGGGGCTTCACAGGGATAGGGTGAAGTGGTATGATCCCCACTCTAGTATATAGGTGGCGTAGGTGTCTCTCTGTTTATAAAATAGAAATACAACCACAGTAGTGTACACTGTAAAAATGGAGTGAGAAGATAGAATTATTAAAACTTACATTTAATAGAGCAAAATAGGGACATTATTTTGGATCACTTTCAGTGCCTCAAAAAAAGGTGATTTGCAGAATTCAAATCATGCGGGACAAAAGTGACTAGGGGATGAGCTGTGGGTCATCTCTATAGTGTAAAAAACGAAAGTACTTGGGCAGGCAGATGAACCATTGATACTATATCTCATTCTGTGCACTTCTTTTGACCTGCCACCTGGCAGAGTGGGGGCGATGTTAAAGGGACTCTCCAGTGCCAGGAAAACAAACCGTTTTCCTGGCACTGCAGTTCCGCTCTTCCTCCCACCCCCCATCCCATGTTGCTGAAGGGATTTAAACCCCTTCAGTGACTTACCTGTATCCAGCGCCTGCCCACGCTCCTCCCCTGCCGACGCCATCCAGCATGGGAGACCTATTGAGCATGCACGCCCGCCAACGGGGAAGACCTAATGCGCATGTGCGGCAATGCCACGCACGCACATTAGACCTCCCCATTGGAAAGCATTGAAAAATGCTTTCAATGCTTTCCTATGGGCATTTCAGTGATGCTGGAGGTCCTCACACAGTGTGAGGACGTAAAGCAACGTTATAGCACACCTTTTCATGTGCTATAAACACGGACGTGCCCTCTAGCAGCTGTCTAGTAGACAGCCACTAGGGGAGGAGTTAACCCTGTAAGGTAATTATTGCAGTTTAGGAAAACTGCAATAATTACACTTGCAGGTTTAAGGGTAGTGGAAGTTGGCACCCAGACCACTCCAATGGGCAGAAGTGGCCTAGGTGCTTGGAGTGCCTGTAGTCAACAGAGGCATGTTGCAAAGGGACAGTTGGAATCCTCATCCCAGGGACGTGGCTACCAGCCCATACAAAGTTTTCTTTTTTTTTGAGCTTACAAAAATGAAAGGACAGAATTTGCATAATGTGCAAAAAAACAAAACAAAAAAACAACATAGCAAAAAAACAGAACTTGGAGCTGGTTGGAGGTGTTTACTGGCTAGAGGCAATATAGTCACGGGGTAGTATCTGTCCCATGTGATAGAGCTTACAAAAATGAAAGGACAAAGTTTTTATCATGTGCAAAAAACAACATAGAAAAAACCCAAACTTACTGGTTGGAGGCTTTTGCTGACTGCTTGTCTGTCAGGTATCCCTGTTGTTTTGATAGAATGAACCAGTTCACTGCAATGTATTTATAAATATATCTAATACATGTAGACACGCAGTTGGACACCGGCTATTGAATTTGCTACGCTGTGTTCTTTATATAGAGCCAGAAATAATTAATCTGTTAAAAGTGCATTCTAAATACTAAGTCAAACTGTAGTGATTATGGTGTCAGCATGCTGCTAGTGCCATCCACTGCTTCTGTGTCTAACCTGTGTAGATCAGCCCCCTAGGGTCCAGTGACTTGGTCCCATGCTGTCCATATCAAAATTTTAGTAGTAACCATTCTGCATTCGCAATTTCAGTATCCACATTGTTCGGACGTGCACAGGCAATGGATGTCTTCCAAACACCGATGGAATTGATATTGCGTGAAATTGGAGAAACCTCTTTTTTGGCTCTCCAGTGCTGTATACATTGCAAACACATTGTGGGAGAATTATCAACGTGTCCTGAGAAGTGTCTTTTGTTTGTATTTATTTAAAAGACATAAGCACACAGACCAGTTTAGCTGCATTGTCCCTGTTATTTTGCCCCCATAATGTTTTTTTTTGGAGATACGGCAGTGTTTTACAATATGGGGCCAAACAGAGGCTTTCACCCTGACAGCGAGGTCCAGGACCAAGTCTCACTTGGTTCCTGATGTTGAGCAATGCAGGCAGCTCCGATTTGCACAAACCTGCATTGTACTGAGAAGTGATTGATTGGCAGAACATGGCAGATTTTCAGGAAAGGATGACATGTTTAGAGTGGCGGAAACAGTGATGGAAAGGTTAAAAAAATGGTGTAGATTGAGACAGAATGGTTACGGCACACAAGATGTAACAAGTGAAAATTCCCAATAGAATTGGTAAATTGTTCCAAAAAGGCACAAAACTATTGATGGCACTTTAATAAATTCCTCCTGCTGTGCTACTAATGACAGTTTTTAAAAACCACTGTTAATTGGGAGCCACAGTGGCTGTGTTTAATATGCTGCAGGGATCTGGTGTTTAGTGAGCTGGAAATAGGAGTTTGTTCCTAGATGTGAGCACATGGAGGGGAAGTCATCAATTAACAGGCTCTGAATCTCTCTGGCTGAGCTCATTCCACCACCCTCCTCCTGCAAGAAAAATGTCTTATTAGCGGTGTCTCCTCCTCCTCTGGCTGCTCCGCACTCAAAGGTCACACAATGGCTGGCGCCCTGTTAGCTGCTGACTTTCAGGGGCTTTCCTGTGATAGCAGCAGTGATCAGGATCAGAAAGCTGCACTGATTGTGTTTACGCAAGCTCACATTATAAACAATGATCCCTATATTTAGAAAGCTGCTTCAAGCGATGACTGTCAAACCCTTGCAGTGCCGTACAAATATGGACAACATTTTCATTGAAGATGTGGGAATCCAGAAGTTTTCGCCAAAACCAGGGCACAGCACCCTCTGCTTACTATAATGCTATTTTATACATCAGCATGTAGTAGTATTGATGTTAAGACTGTGCCTTTAATGTTAGATTGATCTCACTGTCTCCGTTGTCACGTAGAATTGGTGTTACCCTCCCCTGCTGTCATCGTTAACATTAAAACTTCTCTGTCCCTGAAAAATTATTTATTAGCATTTTATAGGACAAATTAGGG